TTTATTGCTTTACAGGAGTTGACAGGTATTCTTCACAAGAAATGACAATTTGTCTCTACAAGCTTTGACTGGTACTGCTTCATGGCTTAGAAAATTTTACAATCTCTACTCAATAGCCCGACATGCCAGTGTGAAGTAAACGAGAGTGCAAAATGCTCCTTTCGAGAGAAAACTGCGCCAAAAATTTTCCGTAAGTTCCACTGACACTAGCCAATTTTCGTCAGGAAGCCCTTATCTTTTATCCTATCTCTTATCTTTATCTTTTTGGAGGGCAAATCGCTCTAGCTACATAGCGGTTCAGGAGCTCAATACTACCTAGACCAGACATTTACGCAAGTTCCGCCCCTTCACACCCCAACAAACAACGCGAACGGAAGCGAGGAAGTGGAAACGTGCGACCTATCGTGATCACATCAATATAAACGAGATTCAGAAGTGCAAGCAGATATCTCCACCCTGCTTAAAGACACGTTCGGCGATCAACCAAGGTTATAACCTCTCAAATATGCCAGATGATACGGTAGGTGATTGTAGAGGCTGTAGTGCATTCAAAAACTGGAAATTTGCAAGAAACCCATGGAGGCTGAACACTTCGGCCCATGAGTACCCCTTACGCCCATGACAATCACTGTGGCTACTAGGGGCTATGTAGTAACCCCTCTACTAGCTCTCTCATCCCGAATGAGTATGAGGATAAGAGGGAGATAAAGGAAAAGTGCTGATATTTATAAGATAACAACAAGGGAGAATACGTACAACACGCTTCCTTTTCACTGCGTGCACGTACAAGCTGGGACCGGGGTACTATATAGGAAATTTAGGAAGGCTTTGTCTGCCATTTTCTTCACTATTTAATTACTTAGTCGTATTTGAGCTCCATTAGCCACCATGTGATCGAGGGTTTCACCTTTAAGAGTTATTCAGCATGGAATTTGCCACAAGAGCTTGATCTCTATCAGCATGCTCATTTTAAGGCCCCACAGGGCACGTCGGAGTTTTCCAGCTTGCTTACTTGGCTTTAGAAAGGGGGGAGG